CCAAATTCAAACTTAGAATTAAAAATAAATAGTAACATTCAAGTCCTTGCCACTGGCATATCATCAGTCTTAATCCTTAACCCTTCTTCTGGTTTCATTTTGCACCATCTCCTTCACCATCAGCAAGAGCACAAAATGAAACCCTCGGCTTCTTTTTTTTAATAGGCAAATAGAGTTTATTACCATTCACATGTACTGAGTAGGTTTCTCATTCAATTACTTGAATCACTGTAGAAAAAGGAGTTTTTCAGCTCCAAGAACATAAGAGACAGAGGAGCACTTGCAGCAAAACTCCAAGGGAACTTTCAGAACTGCCAAGTTTAGGCTATTTCATTCCACCAACTTGTATTTAAGAGCTTTCATATTTTCTTTATAGCTAAGTTCCCCTGCTTGTCTTATATAATGTAAATTATTTAGACACAAAAGTCTTCATTTTCTACTTACTGCCTTCAGCTTCTGTTTCACCATCCTTTCTGACTTCACCATTAGTAGATAGATACTGAAGTACATAAGCACATAGAGAACTACAGTTTCAAAGTGTTTTGAGATCACAAGCTGCTCATTAGGGCAAAGACAAAGTTAAAAGGCACTTATAAAAGTAATAAAAAATTAATATTAAAAACCATCCGTACGCAAGAGCAAATAATGCATAACATGCAGCCTAATTCAAAGATTAATGTGGATCTTCAAAAGAATGGTCGAGTTCTGCAGACATGATCCCAGTGCCATAACCCTACCTACGAGACCTGGCACCAGCATGAGTATTCCACAGCAGTTATCTTTTAAACTGTATAAGCACTGGTATGAAGTATTATGTGTGCATTTTACAGTAACTAAAACAAGAACAAAACACCACACCTACCATACTTGTAATTTTTAAAGGGAGGAGGAAGTCCTGTTCTTGAAGACACATCTGCTAAAATAAAAGCACCAAGTTAAAACAATTTTTTATTTCCAATATTTTATTTTCTATTATTGTGCAGTGTATGCATCCTGGACATCTTTTACATCAAAATAAATCCACAACACAGGAGACTTGGTTGAGCATCCAATACTAAAACACAACCTGTTGCTCAGATTCTATAGTAACCCCATATATGATTAACTTCACTTGAGCATGAAGTCCCTCTAAAGCAGAACAACCCATGAGGACAGTGAGTCAGTCCATTTAGGATATGGTCACAGGAGTGTGATCCTTCAGAAATCTGCCAGGAGTACCCTTTTAATGGTCTGCACAGCACCTCTCTCTACTTCATATAAACAGCTGACAACTGTCGTTCACTACTGAATTGTTCAGTAAACACAGCGATGAGAACCAGACACAAAAAAAGCAGCCAAATTGTAGAAAATCAACTCTTTAGCTGTATACAGGACACAGCTCATAAGTATCTGCAAGAACAATGACACCTTCCCAGGTGCCAGTGTTCCCAGTGACACCCAGGGACTTAACCAGGGCCTTGGAAGGCCTGTGGAATGCTTGGCAGAAAAGCAGCTGAAACCATTATTTCATTAGTACTTTTAACAATTTATCTCAAACTCCCCCTTCAAAACAGATCACAGCAAAGCAAGGAACACGGCTTTTGGGCGAGGAACAGCACTGTGCCTCTGTGGAATGAGGTTCCAAAAAGTCTTGTTTGAAGCACTGGTTTTATATCAAATAACTGTGAGCTGCAATACTGCACACACCAAAAGCAAGTTTCTCAGCATTGGTTTTTATTTTCTTCTTCATAACAGCAGCTGTTCCATATGTACTTGCAGTTTTCTAAAAGCATCCTAAGATCTTGCCATCTCTATCACTGTCTAGAGGAGTGGAAGTCACCAAAAGCACAATATAGCCGTGAGTCCCAGGGCACTGTATTGGAGTTGCTCAAATGTTATCATCTATAAACAGTTTGAGACTTGTTTAAGCTGACTTCATGTAAAAAAAGCAAATGATGTTATTCTGTTCCCTTTGAATGTCTCCACTTAGGTGTGTGGAAATACACCTGCAACATCAAGGGTAACACCCCAACAGCTGAGTCGCTGCGTGGGCTGGTCTGCAGTAATTAACTTTTACATTCACCATCACTTTCAACGAGGCTTCTAAAACAGAGCCCACAGATGAGTAAATCTGCAGAACAAAGCCCACGATGGAGGCAGAAACTCGGAAACAAACATGCACAGCAAGACCTCACAGTGTCAAAAACAATTTTTTCAAGATTCTCTCTTCTCCCAAATAGCAAACAGACTTGCATTCCCACATTCCACACACTGGTGCAGTTCCTTAGGATCAAAGGCTCTAAATTCTATTAATTTATTCCTCTTAATTTGTGAATATCTGCCTGACAGCACCACGCAAGGAGCCTGAGGCACTGAGCCAAACGCACCAATGCCCTTGTTCCTTTTGGACTAAACGCAGGGTTTGGGCAGGGGGAGCAGTCTATCCAAATTCAGGCATGGCACACTGACCGTGGAAGCTCTTATTAACTCCAGACCTTTCATCCAAGGGAGAAAAGCTCACAGGGGATGTAAACACAAATCTGGCATCTCTACCAAAGCCACATAATTTTCATTCATTTGCTCCCCTCCACTTCCCTGGGCAGGGACAGCAACACATGGGACTGAAACGAACAAACAAGACAAGCACCCCCTACCCTTCCTCACGAAAGTAATGAACTCCTTCACTGTCTGATCCAAGGGAACTCCATGGTACACCACAGGTCTGAAATTCCGGTGCTCAAAAGAGCGAACAAGACGAACTGTGACAGTCGAGCCCTCTGACGACATGAGAATTAATTCTGAATCACCTGGAAAACATTAAAGAGAGGAATTATTGCCTTTCCTTTGTGCATGGGCACAGCTGGAAATCAAAGGTGCAGGTTGGGCCTCATGCAAAGATTAAAACCTTGCAAGAAGTTCAACAGCATCATGTCTTTCAGGGTTTCACTTCTATTATTCCTACAGAAGCAGTAACCGGGTCTCAAAGCAAACAGGACGTTACTGATACTGCACACCACATGATCTGTATCTGTACTGTGCGGTGCCACACCAGACTTCCCATTAAACATGCAAAAATGTCGTGGGTAAATGCAATTATGTTCTTTGGGTTTTAAGTGACTTCACTTGCTGGGTGAGTAACCTCGTGCTCTAGAAGAATGTGCTAATATGAACAAAACCAAAACCTTTTTAACATACTTATGTTGCAGAGAGTGTAATACCCTGAAAAATGCCTAAGCTGTCACACAATGCTCGTTTTCACCTCCCTAGAGAAAGTGGAAAAACCGCCCCCACATACACATGCAAATAATCCTCCCAGTACAGTTCTACATAATTAAGGGATTTCATTTATAATACTAGGTTTCTAGAATGGCTCTACAAGGCTTACATACTTTAACAGAGTGCAAATCCTAAAAAAGAGTGGTTTCATCAACCTAAACCCGTCTTCAAACAAGCCTACGTGTTGTTCTGTCGGGCTCTTTCTCTCCACAGGAAAACACAGAATAGGATGTTTCCTATCTCAACCTACTTCTCTATTTTTGGTGCTGGGCATCCCTCAGCAGCCTTGTTTCCTGGTCACATGGTAAACTGCTGTGGCTGCAGCAGCAAGAAGCAAAGACCGCAGTGCATGTGCTGTGACACAGGCAGGGCCACAGCACAACCCCTGCACCTCCCATCCCTGAGCAACCATTTCAGTCACTACCTCCAGTCCTGCAAGGGATTCTCTCACCCGTTCACCCCTTTATGTTCTTTTTGTGTGTCCCCTTTTTTTTTTTTCCTTTGTTTTTCTAGGGGTGGTTATTTAAGTGCCTTATCACCACGTAGATATCCAGGTACATCCCAGTGTTTCCTGTATCTATCCTACCTCCATCCTGGCAAAGCAAAGTAGCAATATTTCCCTCAAGCACTATCTGCAGAACGAGAACACAGACCTTCCACATCACAGGGCAACTTGCTTTTACGTCCCCTTGGTTAATAATTCCCAGAGATCCAATTCCATTGCAAATATGCTGTAACACACAAATAAAACATGCCAAACAAGCAAACAAGAAGCATACTTCACACCTGAAAATATCTAGATTTATATTAAACAGCTGCGAACACCCTTCCCCTTAAGGGTGGGTATCACCTTAAAAGCACAGATGGATATTTTCTTGGTGCTACTCCACATGGGCTGGAGGGCACAGCATTCAATTCACTTTCTCCTGAGCAGGACGGAAAAACACTGTAAGGGTATAGGTTTGGGAGCATAACCAGAAATCGCCGATTTTCACATCTACTACTCAGAACGAACAGACCGACCACAGGTAGGGCTGGGGCCCGATAGTACCCTGGGCCTCCGCGGAGAGAACAGTGCAGGTCAGAGGCGCTGGTGGTCGACCCCTCCTGTGGAAAGGACCCTCCCCCGGTCCCGCAGCAGCGCCGGGACCCACCGGGACCCGCTCAAGCATAACCACCCCCAATCCCGAACCCGCCGCCCGCCCGACTGGCTCCATTACCACTCCGCACCGGCACTTCCGGGTCCCGTCTCGCCAACTCCACCAATCACGTCCCTAGGGTGACACCCACTGCAGGGCGGGATTGGCTGCGCCGCTCTCCGGCCCCGCCCCCTTTTTCGCCACACTGATGAATGGGCGGGCCCGGTGCCGCCTCCGCATTGGCCCTTTGCCCGGCGCGTTCCCGCCCCCGGCGGGCACCGATTGGCCGCGATGCAGAACGTGGCGCCGCTGATTGGACGGCGGAGGGTGAGGCGAGGGGTGAGGCGCGCGCGCGGCGGGGGCGGTGCGGCAGAGGCGCTGAGGGGCCGGGAGCGCGGAGGGACCGCCGAGATGAGCGAGGTGCGGGGGACACCGGGGGGCTGCGGGGGCACGGGGGGCAACTCGGCATCTTCCCCTCATCACCCACTGCCGCTCTCTCCCCCCAGGCCGCGTTCCAGAAGGCCGCCGAGGAGGTGAAGCAGCTCAAGTCGCAGCCCACGGACCAGGAGATGCTCGACATCTACAGCCACTACAAACAGGCCACGGTGGGCGACGTGAACACGGGTAGGTGTCGCCCCGGGCCGCGCTGGGGGAGAAGCCTCTTTCCCGCTGTGCTGCCCGCAGTCCTGTGGCTCGTCTCTGGTGACTCAGAGCCGACTTGGCTCGGATTTACGGGCAGGGCACGGCCCGGCCCGATAAGGGTTTGTGCAATCCCTGGTTTTTAAATTAACCCAGCTGCAGCCGTCCGGATCGTGCAGCGAGGGGCTGGGGATCCTTTGTGTATTAGCTTAGTGCAAAATCGTGGGACTAGGGTTTTTGCAGAGTTCTGCCAGTGGGCAGCTGCCCAGCTCACGGGGTGCTGCAAATGATTGCTGTTTTGATGCAAACACCTCTGGGGTTAAACAGGCTTAAACAGCAAACCAAACCACAGAAGTGTGGAACTGCAATACGAGGGTAATGACACACACAGTTTATTTAGACTGGACTGGCTGCTAAAAATAGCGTTGGAAAGCAAAACCAGAAGAACGGGAGAAAACTCTTATAGGAGCTGCAATTAAATATCACATTTTGGAAAGACTGTGGCAAAAATGTGTCTGCAGGTACACCACGCAAAACGTCTCCTGCTACTTCTCTTGCTACATTTCTGCCACTGGCAGCTCAGCCCCCGGAATAACATTTAGAGTGAAGCCTGTCACTGTTGACCTTGTGTAACACTGGAGTAGCTAGAATTAGAAAGGAAAAAGGTCATTTGTTTAGAGTGCTGGCCTCCTAACCCAGTAGCTGGTGAAGTTTATTGGGTGTCTATTGAATTAAAAGCTGTCAGTGAAGTGTACAGGAAATGGTAATTGCAGTCTCCTTTTCCCAAGGTGGGAGAAAAGACCTGACTTTGGGTTTAAGATACGATCCTTTTGGTGTGGCTGGACACTTAGACTTTTAATACTTGACAAGGGGAAATGGTACTCTAGAGCTGTGAATACCACCATTTCTGTAAGTGGCTGCCCTCTTGAGAAGCAGGAGCCAACGTGAGCTGGCCAGAAAAGCAGCCTGTGAAAGAGTGACTGATGGGATTTGTGTTGGAGAGCTGCCAAGTAGCTCTGCAGGTCACTGTGCCATGTGAGCTGCACAAGGGTATTTCTGTGGCTACTGTCCAGTTCCATTTTACAGTCTTAAGAATTGTCTTTAAGGAGACAGAGAGGAAGTAAAACCACAGAGGGGACTTGAAGAGTAGCCGTATATACATTATTCATTCTCTACTTGGCCACATATAGCCTGCAGTGAAGTGAGTTAAAATTCCAAGTTTGTATCCCTAGATGACAGGTTACAAACACATCCTTAGCTTGATGATAGTGAGTTCTAAGTTGTATGCTACCAGCTTCTATTTTCATATCTTTGCATGTAATGGACCTTAGGGTATTTCTGCTTTACTTCAGGTCTGGTGTTCTTTAATTGGATAGCTGTCAGGTGACAGCAGGCTCTTCAGAAAGCACAGTAAAACCAAATCACACTAATTGGTGCTCTTCTGCTCAAATGCTGCTGTCTCAAGGGAACTCGACAGAGTTGTCACCAAGAGTGTTCTAGTGTGTTCCCTTGAGGTAATCTCATGACTACAGGTTAGTAACAGCTGCAAAGATCAACCACTGTACTTTGTCATAGTTAAGAGCAAAATAGCCTTCAGGGAGGTATTACCTACACCCAGATCACACAAACTAATTCTGCTGCTTACCTTGTCTCTCTTAGAACGCCCTGGTATGCTGGACTTCAAAGGCAAAGCCAAGTGGGATGCCTGGAGTGCATTGAAAGGTAATTGTCTCCTTAAAAAACTAATAAAAGTCAGAAAAGCACATGTAGTTCAGCAAGAAACAGAATAGTGTTTCCTTATAATACAAGACTTCTAGAAGTTCAGAATGCTATGATAATAAACTTTTGATTACCTCTGCAAGGTGCAAGTAATCATGAAAACTATTGCCTGTGTGAAAGGGAATTAAGATGCAAAATGCCCACCTGGCTCGAGATGTTAAACAAAGGAGAACAGTAACATGGACAGAAACCTAAGGAATCTGTTTTCCAGGTCTCAGCCTAGTACTCCAGAGGCTGAGCTCTCCCCCCAGTTGTTCTGCATCTTCCAGTTAGGAAAGCTTTAGAAGAAACAACTGATCTCTTGGCTCTAAACAAGGAGCTTAACACGTAGTCTAATCTATGACAGAGGGTGGGTCCTGGTGTTTCAAAGAACCAGCACTAACATCTAAATGCAGCCTAAGTTGAGTGAATAGGTTTCCTGTAATAACTGTCAATGGCGTTCATAGAACTGATACACTGTTTAGTTGCCGTCTGTACAAAAACAACTTGGCTTTGAAACACTGTTTTATCATGGCTGATGAACACATTTGTGTAAAACTTTAACAGTGGATTCACAGCCAACTGACCTTCCGGCCTCCTCTGGTGTCTGGTAGCCACAGGCTATACCAAGGAATTGTGATTTGTAAAAGGCATTTTAATCTATAGAGGGTATCTGACTGCCTCCTGTGTTCTGTCCTTCAGGAATGTCCAAAGAAGATGCAATGAAAGCTTACATAGCAAAAGTGGAAGAACTAAAGGCCAAATATGGCATCTGAGGACTGGATATAGCAGCCACATGCACGCCTGAAACATGCCTTATTTCTAATACTGTGGAAAACTGGTTTCCAAGAGTAATCTTAAATACCTAGTGTGTTATAGTCATTTCTCCTCATGCCTGTACTTCAGGAGAAGTTGTGTACCTGCCTAATAATGTACTGACACATTATAAATTCCTTCTGGGAACAAAATCTGGAACTCATTAAACTGCATTTGGTACTTAAGCTGTTGTGTCGGTCATCCCTTAGTGATTATCCTTTTAATTGCCGTTGTGTTGCAGCTGTCGACACAAACCAAACCAACCGTCCCATCGTTGCGCCACTAGAGGGGGTCGGTAGTCCTTATTCGGGCAATGTGGACTTTGGCCAAACCACTCCTCCCTTGCTTCCTTTCTCACGGAGATGAGTGGCAACCCACTAAAGCTGGAGCACCACAAAGCTCATCGGGAAGAGATCAGCTCTAATGCTGAGTACACTAAGAACAAGGTGCCTGATACTTGTTGTCTGGAACTTTCAAAAACCTAGCCAAAAACTGCCAAATCATCTTTCATAAAACACTTCTTGGACATGCTCTTTCCCTATAATGTTGTGGGACCTTCTGTAGGTAAAAGGCAAATACTCAGCAGCTGAACACAAAACTTTCCCTGTGAAAGAAAAGGTGAAGAAAGGACAGTGAAGTTGGTGCCTTTGGCGCTATAAATGCATAGTACTGGTGTTGCCATGATGATTAGAAAGCACAGTTGAGATCTGTAGTAGATTTTTAATTGTTATGATCTGCCCAGTATGATCTCTTAGAGCTGCCGATAATATAAAGGGAGATTTTTGCTTTTAAAATGTGCCATTGAACTATTCCAGCATAGAGGACATGAGAATAAAGTCCCAGCCTTATACAGGAGGAAGACATTCTAATTCCTACCTTACTGGTTAGCATCTGAACAGGTGAGGACTTAACAGTCATCATATGAGCAACTGATTTATATAAATACATAGAGTTGAAAGCTATCATTACATATTTGTCTAGGTAAACACCATTTTGTAGTTAGGTACACGGGCTTTGCTGTATGTAGTAGCCTTGGAGATTACCTCATATGCTTTCAAAAATTAAAACTTTCCCCTTTGCTACTTTTATTGGAAATGCCCTTAGAGCTACTTTTCACCCTTTAAAATGTGTTAGAATAAAGAACAAAAATAAGTTGTTTATTCTTGTTCTTCTGGGTAAGTAAAAATAACATTTTTTACCTCGTCTTCTATTGTCTGCTAATTGAGATTGTGTTAATTAAATTCACCTTGCAAGAGAGAGGCAAGAGCAGATGTTCAGCATAAGGAATGCTTTTACCTCTTTTTCCAGCCCTAAATTGCACAGCCAGTTCTATCTTCACAGCTGTATTTTGTGAAGCTGGTTATCCTTGGAGGATTCTACCAACCTGTGTCAGAACGGAGCTCACGCTGGCAAATGCTTCCACTTTTGCTCTTGTTTGCAGGAAGTCCATGCACTGTGAGCATGCTGTGATTTGCTAATATGCTTTCTGTCAGAACAGGTGTTAGAATTTTTGACTGCTAAAGCAGTGGAGCTGGGTATGAAGGATGGGCCGGTAATAGCAAGTTCAGTATTCCAGTCCTCATTTGGCTTTATTTCCCCTGTGAGACTTCAACTGCAGCAGTGCTGCTCTCCTTTCCCATACCTGTCTGACTTTAGGAAAACATTGCTCTGTACACAGTGCTTATCCCAGAAAGGGCTTGCTCTTGACCAGGCTTATAAGTAATGCTATTTGCCAAGTTATACAAGTGACTGAACTCTACCTTGGATGTCTTTATTTGGGTGTTTTATTTTTAGTGTAGTAACACCTTTGTGCTTGCAGCTTAACCTTCC